TAAAGGGTTCCTTAAAGGGTTCCATTAGGGCGATTATAAGGGTTCAGTTTAGGGGCCTTGATGATTAGAATAGTGTTGTGGGGCCCTTGATCTTATAATTGTAACAAGGACCCCCCCAAAAAAATAAAATAAAATTGGTAATTGTTGAGGCCCCTATATCAGTGCTTCCAGGCTTCAGGGTTTTGGGTGCTTTTTAGGGCTTAGGGTATAATCGTGCTTTAAGGTGTCAGGGTCTTTGATGCTTTTGCAGGTTTGGGGTATAAGAGCACGTTAGGGTTTAATACAGGTTTCCGGGTCTTGGTGCTTCGGGGCTTAGGGTTTATAGCGCCCTAAACCCTAAACCCGAAACCTAAACCTTTTTTAAGGTTTCAGTCTTGGTGCTTTAGGGTTTAGGATGTAGTAGCACTTTCAGGTTTCACGGCTTTTGGGGCTTTAGGGTGTTCGGAGTTTTAAGGCTTGGGGTTTTATGGTGTTTGGGGGGGGGGCATTGCGAACTTCGGGATTTTGGGGATGAAGGTTCGAGGCGTTTTCGGTGTTAAGGTTCAGGGTTCAGAGGTTCAGAGTTGCTCGGGCATGTAATTTAAACCCTAAGCCCTAAACCCTAAACCCTTAACCCTAACCCCTAAACCCTAACCCTAAACCCTAAACCCTAAACCCTAGACCCTAAACCCTAAACCCTAAACCCTTTTCTGGCTGATGATCCTGGCCGTCAGCCTGAGCTGCATGAAACTCAACTCGATCAGACACCATGTGGGAGCTTCCGAAAATAGGGGGTTACCTTATTTGGGAGGTCTTATAATATACTAATAAGGATCCTACTATTTAGGGTACTATATTAGGGTCCCCTATTTTCTGAATATAACAAGGATCCTACTATTTAGGGTACCATATTAGGGTCCCCTATTTTCTGAAACGCCCATGTGACACTGACACAGGTGAATCTAGCGCCAGGTCCATGAGGGAGTCCCGCTGTTGCTCTTGAACAGGGGAGTCATTGATCCACCTTCACTCACCCTAAGGGTCCATGTACCCAAATAGTATATACTTTGGCCTTCATGTAGTCCCTATTTAGGTAATTTAGGGCCGTACATGGGGGTTTCCGAAAATATGGGACCCTAATATAGTACCCTAAATAATAGGATCCTTATTATAAGGACCCCAAAATAAGGTACCCCTAATTTTCGGAAACCCCCACATACTTTTTGGGTACATGGACCCTTAGGGTCAATCTTGGAGGACCGAGTGATTGGCTGGCCCTGAACCCGGAAAGAGTGAGCAGGGAGTCCCCCCACCAGCTCTCCTCGGCTTTCAGGTCACATTAGGGTTTAGGGTTTAGGGTTTAGGGGTTTAGGGGTTTAGGGTTTAGGGTTTAGGGTTTAGGGTTTTGGGTTTAGGGTTAGGGTTTAGGGTTTAGGGTCGCCGTCGAAGGTATCGATCATTTTCTTGATCGCCTCCCCGTGCGAATCCTCGTCGACCGCAGGCACTTCAGATGAAAGGTCTTGTCGGTACTTGGAGGTTCATGGGTAGTTATAAGTAGGGTTATAAGTCCGGTTATAACTATAGTTACCTTACTTATAACCCCACTTATCACTACTCATGAACGTCCAAGTAGATACAGCCGACAGGATTTAGTGCAGCCAGATCCCGCCCCCTTTACTTGGGTTCCGTAGATCCCGCCGCTTTCACATGCGCGGCGCAGCGTACTTAAGGATCAATGAACCCCACACCTTGAATCGTATCGTAGAATAAGACATGGGCTAAGCAAAGAGCGCGGTAATCCCTGCTCCCGGAAATTCTCCGTCTTGCACTGCTTAGCTACCTGTGAGTACTAAGACAGTGTCAAAGCTTGCATGTCGAACCCTAACCGCCCAGAGAATCAAAATCCCAAACTAGCCTGTATTTCCCCACTAGCCCGCAAAACCAAAACTTCCATCCCCACTCGGTAACAAAAACACAAGTTTACAGGGAACCAAAAACAGAAAAAATAAAAGTTGCACAGCCGGCGAACTAGGAAGCAGCATATCGGGTATGCAATCCCGAATGGTCCCAAACATGGATATTCCCGGAGGACATCGAACAACACGGCAACAACGAAACAGATAAATTTCGCATTTTGCTCTGACTGACCGACATCTTCGATGATGGACGGAAGGACGGACTTACCCACAAACGGACGGACGCTATGTAAGAACTCCCCCTGTCGGCACTCAGAACCCTTTGAGAATGGTAACTGCGTCGCCTTCGTGGCCGCGTCCGTAGCGCAAAAGCACAGTTGCGATGGCTGCACCTGGCGCCCTACAAGCCCCAGACTCAACCCCCAAAACTAATTAGACAAAAGATTCCCCCGACTAAAGGACCCTCAAGCCAAGTGACCGAAAGCAGGAACTATATACATTGGCGGGTGAATCCCCAAACCCTCTAAACACCCACGTCATGAACACCACGCTGCAAAGCGCGGCACAAACACCCCTAAACCCTAAACCCTAAACCCTAAACCCTAAACCGGAGTCTAAGTCCCGATCGCACAGCCTTGACTGACGTGCTCAGCCGTTGTCAAAATTGTAGGATATACGGCACCAAGAACGACCACGACGAAACCCTAAACTTTTTCGGGTTTAGGGCTTATAGGGTTTAGGGTTTAGGCCCTAAACCCTAAACCCGAACTTGAGAACACGTTGTAATGGTGCCGCTGCTTCTAGGCTTCGTCTGCGCAGGCGTTCGGAGCTTAGAGGTTTGGGGGCTTAGTAAGTCTATAGGGTTTAGGGTTTAGGGGTAAGTATATAGGGTTTAGGGCTTAGGGATTATAGGGTGGTTTAGAGAGTGTCGTATAAGATCTCGGGGGGAAGCCTTGAGGTGTGTCTGGGGGTTTGCAGGTGCTGGGTTTCGGGATATTCAAGGGCTGGCGGGATTCAGGATCTGAATTATCTGTTTATGTTTCCGGTATCTCCTCAGTCTATGACCCTAGCCACAGAATAGGTTATCCACAAAATGGTCCATGTAGAGCCTACACTGCGGCTTAAAGCCTACAGCATGCAGGTCATGCATGTTCGAGTCCGAGGGAGTGTGCAGAATAGCGACGGAATACGCAGAACATCGATCCGAGTGTTGTTGCTGTGAGTTCTGCCTAGAGTAACAAAGCCACCTTAAAAAAGGTAATCGTAGCGTTTGTTAGTGTCGGATTTCTTGAAGCTGAACAAGGCACCTTCGATACTTAGGGGGGTGAGTACCAACCCTAAACCCTAAACCCTAAACCCTAAACCAAAAGGAACCCTGCTGCCTGCTGTCGAACCGCTCACGAAAGCTGTGTTGTATGCCACCTTCGCCAAGTCTTTGGGTTGTTCAGGGCTTTAGGGTTTGGGTGGTATTGTTGAGGGATTTAGGCTTTATAGGGATTATAGGAGATAACCTACGGCTACGGCCCCAAGTTCCGGCAGCAACGCTTGTTGTTACGGCCCGAGCTGTGGTTGGCACACTAAACCCTAACCTCTGCCTCTACCCATAGGCTCCATAGTAGTTCCTTTTTGGGACTACCTTTTAGGATCCTAAAGATATACGACAAAAAGGAACTACCCTAAACCCTAGACCCTAAACCCCTAAACCCTAAACCCCAAACCCTGAAGAACATAACATGGAACAAGGCGATGAGTTGGGCACATGGGCCATTCGGGCCGCACTCGAAACTGTCCAACTATATAGACCACTGCTAGGTTCCCCTGTAGCCCCTTAATAAGACGGGTACCCTTTTCCCTACTATTTGGTTTTAATAAGGGAACCCACAAAGAAAAAGGGCAAAAGGGTACTACTTGGGAACCTAGACTAAACGCCTTTCACCCCGAAACTCTGAATTTAGGGTTCAAGGTTTAGGGCTTAGGGTTTAGGGGTTTGGGGTTTGGGGTTTAGGGTTTAGGGTTTAGGGGTTTAGGGTTTAGGGTTTAGGGTTTAGTAGAACCCTTGACTCGGACAGTTTTCTGCCTGCAGTCTTCGGATGCACGCTGGCGGGTTTGAGATGCGGCAGTGCCGATTTGGGGGAACTGCACTACGCCCCTAACCCCCTAGGTACCTGCTATATAGGGTACCAGAGCCCCTATAGGGCCACATATAGTAGGTACCTGGAGGGTTAGGGACGATTGAAAGACTAACTACAAGCTATAAGTGATATAGGCACCCTAAACGATTAACATAGGTTGTTTTGGGGAAACCCTGAGGAACAGAATGGTAACTATTCAGGCCCCTACACTATCCACAGTAGCAAGAAGCACCAACAAACTCTGAAAGCTCGAAACCTTGCCATGAACCCGAGACGATGAACATCCGAATTCCTCGGAACATGTCTACAAAGCGGCAGCAAGACCCATTCCATCTTAGAAACAAGAGCCTGAAGCCTTTTTTGTCTCAGCCGACCGATTTTAAAAAGCTCTAGAACACCATGCCAGGCGCAAATGCCCTCACGTAATTATCCTCCTACGAACCTCCTCAAAAGAAGAACCCTGCAACGCCCCTGGTAAGATCATAAACCTCCTAAGCCCTAAACCCCAAACCTGACAAACCCCGAAACACATCGAACTGAGCCTTGGCTCGCAACTTCAGTGCTTTCGCCGCAGCCAGGCCTAAGCCTTCGGAAGAGGGTTGTTTGGGGTTTACGTTTTCGACTTAGGGCCTAGGGTTTAGGGTTAATATAGGGGCCTAGATAGATACCACTACTATCTTGGAGGTTCCTTATTATAGTGTATGATATACCCCCAAACCCGGTTCTAATGGCTAATGAAAATATCAGGTTCTTACGCAAAAGTATGCCGAATTGCTCAGACCCTGCAATTTCCCAGTCTGGGAACTTGCGATTTGGCCATTCGGGTTTAGGGTTTAGGGTTTGCCATTGCCTTTGATGTGCTAATCGTTTGGTCCAAAGCTGTGCATCTCCATGCCTTCGAAAAAAGGAACTCGATAGGCCCTAAACCCTAAACCCTAAACCCTAAACCCTAAACCCTAAACCCTAAACCCTAAACCCAAAAGGAACCGCAACGCTAGTGGCAAACCGAGACCTAAGCCGAATGAGAAAACGCAGCGAGACATTAACTGGCATGACTCAGTCTGGCCAGATAGACTTGGGTTTAGGGTTTAGGGTTTAGGGTTTAGGGTTTAGGGTTTAGGGTTTAGGGTTTAGGGTTTAGGGTTTAGGGTTTAGGGTTTAGGGGTTTAGGGTCCTAAACCATGAACCTACCCAAACAAGAAACCCCCTCAACCCTAAACCCAATTCCCGGGCAACCCCCCAAACGCAGACTTCCTTCCTTTTGTTCAGACTTCAAACGGAAGTCCCAAAACAGCAAATGAAACACACTCACATCTACATATATATATATATACATAAGGTATACAACTAGACGACTAGCTAGAGGGAAGTCCTCAAAGTCCTACCGAATCCCCCAACTCTCAAGCCGAATCCTCCAAAACGTTAATCCCCTGAACCCTAAAACCCTAAAGCCCTCCCTAGAGTAACCAAAGTACTTTAAACAACCCTAAGAACTATAAACCCTAAAACCTAAAACCCTATAAACCCTAAACCCTAAACCCCGAAAAGCCTAAAACCCTAAACCCTAAACCCTAAACCCTAAAACCCTAAAAGCCTAAACGCCTAAAGCCCTAAAGGCCTAAAAGCCTAACTGGGGCCGCACCGGCGCCCAGGGCCGCTGCAAGGCTCGAGCTGCGCCAGGCCTTTGAGAGCCCAGGGCTTTTAGGGTTTAGGGTTTAGGGGTTAGGGGTTTAGGGTTTAGGGTTTAGGGGTTTAGGGTTTAGGGTTTAGGGGGTTTCGGGGTTTAGGGTTTAGGGTTTAGGATCTATAAGGGTTCTACAAGTTTTCCAACGGGGATCTTAGGGATCTATAAGGGTTCTACAGGGGTTCTACCAGGTTTCTACCAGGGCTCTTTTGAGGGATCTGCAAAGGTTCCTATAATTCCTATAAGGGTTTGGGGTTTGTAGGTTTAGAGGGTTTAGGGCATATCGGTTTTGGGGTGTGGGGCTTCTGTGGTTTAGGGTTTAGGGCTTATGGGGTTTAGGCTTAAGCCGCCCGCCCTTTCGCTGTGGTTTATCTAACGAGCTGATGTTCACTACCTGCTACCGCTTTCTAAGTTGCTAGACACCGAAGCTTTCGATTTCCAAGCCTTGAAGCCAAACCATCTCGCCTAGACCTGAAATCCCCCGGGCAGCAGCAGGAGGAGGAGGAGGGGTAGGCTTAGAAACAGGATTATTTTAGTTGTAGTAGTAGTAGTAGCAGTAGTAGTAGGAGTCGTAGTAGTAGTAGTAGTAGTAGTAGTAGTAGTAGTAGTAGTCGTAGTAGTAGTAGTAGTAGTAATAATACTAACTTAGTAGTTGTCTGGTCGCATTAATAATTATTTCTATACGTCTTGCTTCTAATTACTACTTTGCTGAATGCTTTCGTGCTTTTGCTGACGGGTTTATGACTTCGATATTCCAGGTGTAAGCAGAGCTTGGTCTTTTGCATACGGCAGACCGTAAACCCTATAGTAGACCCCGCAGCCTACACCCGAGCGAAAAGCACCGTAAACGCCTCTCTTTTCTACAAGGCGTTCGATGTCGATCTCGAGGACCGCAACCTTCAGCCCTGTGACCCTTGAACGATTTAGGCTTTGGGGTTGCGGGGGCGCGGGGGCTTAGGGTTTGGCAGTTTGGGTTTTGAGATTCTCTGGAGAGGTTTGGGATTGAGGGTTGAGGATGCAAGTCTGGTAATGCACGTGTCTTGGGTTTATTTTGATGCAATGGCTGCCTACTTCTGCAGCGTGGTGGCAGGGCGGAAAAAGGCGTCAGGTGCAGCTTCTGGACATACCGAGGCTGAGGTTTTGAGCTGGCATCTGTGGCCGGCATGGGCGCCACAATGTCTTCTGCATGCTTCAGCAGGTAGGCAATGCGTGTCCGGGTAAGCTCTCCAACAATGCTCTCAGGCACTGCACCTCGTTCTCATCCGGCTACTTCGTCGAATCACTGCGGGAAAACGCCTTCCACCATAGCATCAAGGGACCACCCGAGTCGGGCGAAAAACCCTAAACCCTAAACCCTAAACCGCCGTCGGCCCAGCTTCTTCCGAGAACAGTTGTCACGGCGCCATCTCCGTGGAGTGAGAGAAGAATTGTCAACTCCTTCTGCCACTGAGGTTCAAACTACTTCCGGAACCCGATCTTCCTGAAAAGGTTTAGGGTTTAGGGTTTGGGGGTTCCGGTTGGCACGGTCCCCTTGCTCGCGAAAAGCAGCAAACATGATTTTGATGCAACCCAAGATGCGTAACACATATGAAACTAACACAGCAATCCCACTAATTATCTGGAACCCTAAACCCTAAACCCTAAACCCTAAACCGGAACCTACCAGCTCATCGCACCACGAGCCCTGAATTCTGGACCATAGACCATCCGGGTACTTAGTGATGGTGGAAACCGAACCTCCCGAAGCCCTAAGCCCAACAGGGGCTGACCCATGTGCCTGGAGGCAACGGCGGTGATGATCTTGTGTGTCATCGCCGGCCTCGTGGTAGACACCCGAGTGGTCCTAAGCTTGAGATTGAGTTTAGGTTTCTCCAAAAAGCCCTGAAGCGCAGAATCGAAGCCCGAAAAATTGAACGTGGCGAAGCGCAGGCATGTGTTGTTCTTCTTTTTGTGGAGGGAGACCATCCCCCAAGCGAAGGATGTCACACACTCAAAAAAAACACTGATAAGAAATACCCGCATGAGTATTACAGCTTGGCTTTGGGATTTCGGCCAGTTATATCGCCTACACTTGAAAGAGCCTGCATCAGTGAACCCCAAAAAAAGCACGACTCTAAAAAATGCACCCTGAACCCTACAAGCCCCCGAAGCCCTGTAAACCCCATAAGCCCTGTAAAACCTATCAGCCCCGCATGGCCTATACACTTTTTCGGGCAATAACACACCGATAGCGCGTATTATGGGTAGTTCTCCAAGTTAGGGTCCCTTTGCAGGCCCCCAAAATAAAAAGCCGCACCCTTCTACACAGGGACCCCAAGAAGGGACCGAGCTACGACCTGGTTTCTTCCAAAAAATTCGGGGACAGGCTTAGCAACGGCTTAGGGCTTTCTAGGCTTCGGGGTTGAGGGTTATTAGGGTTATTAGGGTATAAATTCGGGCTTATAGGCCTTGTTTAGGGTTATAGGCTATAGGCTATAGGGTTTCTTGTATACTTTTTAGGTTCTTCTAGGGCTTTGCGGCTCCTTTTAATTTCCCAAAGGGTCCCATGTACTGTTATGGGGGATACGCCCCTAAATCATAGTAGGTAAATCCTAATACAGAAACCCTACATTCTACCATAAAGGTACTTTGGACCCTTTGGGGCACTAAAACCTAAACCCTAAACCCCTAAACCCCTAAACTTAACTACCCATGAACCTTGGACCGTTTGGGTTTGGGGTTCCTTTTTAGAGGGTTTAGGGTTTTTGGGGTTCCAGGGACCAATGCCTTGAAGCCACAAGGCCTGCGGGTTTAGGGCTTAGGGTTTAGGGTTATAGGGTTTAGGGTTTGGGGGTTTAGGGTTTTAGGGTTTAGGGTTTAGGGTTATAGGGTTTAGGGTTTGGGGTTTTAGGGTTTAGGGCCTAGGCCCTAGGGTTATAGGGTTTAGGGTTTAGAGCCTAGGGTTTTAGGGTTTAGGGGTTAGGCTTTGGGGTTTAGGGTTATAGGGTTTAGGGTTTAGGGTTTAGGGCCTAGGGTTTATGTGGGTCTAGGGTTGGGGTTTAGGGGTTATGGGGTTTAGAGTTTAGGGCTTCGGGACCGTAAGGCTTACGGTTTTCGAGTTTTGAATAGGGTTCAGAAGTCAAAGTTGAAGGCTTTGGGTTTAGAGTTGGATTTAGGGCTTAGGGTTCAGGGTTTTTGGGTATATATGGTGTAGGGTGAACAGTCGTACTTCCATAGACCATAGAGGTCCAATGATCGCTGACATTGCTACTAAGACGTTACCGGTATAGCCGCTAGGCTGATTATTCATTAGTGCTGCTATGATGGTTGAAAATGTTGAAAAAGTCGTGGCGCAACGAATGAAAATTCAACGTTTAACATATCTAAACTGCCTTCTACACCTTTACGGTATTTCGCATCTACAGATTGTAATAGTAGTGGTGGTGGTGGTGGTGCTGGTGGTGGCAGCAGTAGCAGTTGTTATCTTGCAGCAGCAGCTGCGGCAGCTGCAGTGGCAGCAAAGGCAGGAGTAGGAATAGGGATGAGGGCAGCCCCAAAACGACCACGACAACTCGCCGAGGATCCTCAAAAAAACCCAAACCCTGCAGACACTAAGCCGGACAAGGAGATGATTGAGGAGTTGTGCGTCTTTTCTGCCGCAGAAAAAATCTGATGCCGAATTCTATATGCCAACCCTATTCTAAGTAATGCTTGTATTTTCTGGTATCGGAGACCTAAACCCTAAACCCCCATACACCCTAAAGGAACTGAGGAATCCTTATAGGAACCCCAGGCTCAGAGTCCTTATCGGAACCCTAGACTCTAGTGTAGGGGCCTAAATACTTTCGAATACTCTACATCACCCTTAAAGGCTTTCTCATCGGTAAGTTCCGAGGAGCTGATGTGAATCATCAGTTCGATTCTCGCCGGTACAGCCGCTCGGAGGGAGTTCTTGAAATTGATATCGGGGTCGGAGTTAAGACCAACAAGGTTTAGAGTGTTGGGTTTAAGTTTTATTTTAGTGTGTACAATGACAGTCCGTCATAGCCCAGCTGTTCTGACAATTGTGAAGGCCCCTTTGTTCAGGTGTTGGGGTCAGCTATCAAATCCGAGCTTGGCCCAAACTTTGCCAAGGCCCGTGGTTGGCACGGCGTCCCCGTGCAGTGCCAAAGGCACGCAAGTAGTTCTGAAGTCAGCTTTGTCTCCCAACGTCCCATCCGCCATACACGGATGCTTGGCAAAGTGCTTCCAGAATGCCTGCAAAGCTGGAGTCCCACCAGGTAGAAAAGAAACCTTCCAGTACTCTGGATACTGGTGGTAAAGCGCCGAGAACACTTCATGCGGCAGCATGAAAGCTTGAGCACTCTCTCCAGTCTTGAAGGGCACGACCTCCAGAAACGGCCTCGGCAGCTTGCATTTGCCAGGCACATAAGCCATGAGGTCCCTGTGGCAGTTGTTCGAGTGGACCCCAGCACTGCCTATTCCTGCAAGCTTGTTTAGGCGGCCCGGAACATCGCTCTCTGTCAAGCCAACGGCCAACATGTCCTTCTTCGCCAGAGAAGCGATTCGCTGGACTTGCTGCGGCGACAAGTCCCCCAATGCCCATGTTTTTTCAAGGAATTTTGCCAAAGCGGAATCCGCGGTAGAAGACGTCGTCGGGGCTTCCTCGCGAGCAACCTGTGACAACCGCTTTAGGGATTAGGGCCCTGAACCACGAGCCCTAAACCCTAAAAAACTAGAACACTAAACCCCTAAACCCTAAAACCCTACAACCCTCAACCCCTAAACCCTTAAACCCTAAACCCCAAACCCTAAACCCTGAACCCAAAACGCTAAGCCCTAAACCCTAAACCCTAAAACGTAAACCCCAAACCCCAAACCTTAAACCCTAAACCTTAACCCCTAAACCCTAATAAAATCCTAAACCCAAAACCCCAAACCCTAAACCCTAAAACCCTAAACCTTCAAACCCTAAACCCTAAACCCTAAACCCTAAAACCCCTGCGCCCTAAAGCCCTAAACCCTAAACCTTAAACCCTAAACCCCCTAAACCCTGAACCCTAAAACCCTGAACCCTGAACCCTAAACCCTAGGAAGGCACCTCAACTTCGCAGCGCGACACCACAGGATCCCTCGACCGCACAGAGGAGGACATGGCCACACGCAGCTCGCAAGAATGGCTAGGGGCTTAAAGAGGGGTTTAGTGTTTAGGGTTTACGGTTTAAGGTTTAGGGTTTAGAGGCTCGCAAGAACGGCTTGGGGTTTGAAGGAGAGTTTAGGGTTTGCCCAGATGAACAATCATCATGTAGCCTAATATAGGGGCCTACATAATTGGAAGGTTTTTGGGCCATTATACTATAACTCTAATAAGGAGCCCCTCCCAAAATCGTATAGGTAACTATTTAGGCTTCTATATTACGGTCTACTGCCCTGAAAGATTGGAGGCAAGAACTCAGGGTTTAGCATGATCATTGTTAGCGCTACCTGGGTGGTTGTCAAAATTATGGTCCCTTTTTGGGTCCTTATTATAATACGGCGCCTATTATTTAGGGTACCCCAAAAGGGACCATAGTTTTGACAACTACCCACCTAACTTTGCAGCTCTGCGATTGCGACTTGACAGGATTGTCCAGGTTGTGTTCCGTGACCTTTGATAGGGAGGCTCGGGTGGCTGGAGAGAGAGACCATACCTGTATCCCCAGACCCTACGAAATAGTAGGTTATGACTTTCCTTAATTTTGGGGGGTATAACCCCAAAATTAGTACCCTCTAACCCTTGAAACCTCCTTCTCCAAAACCTGCTGGGCTCGAAGTCTTGTCAATTTGTCAGATCCAATCTAGCGATCGGAGTTTACGGGCTTAATATAGGCCCTGTAGCTGGAATAGGGCATTGGAGGCTTGCTGCCTCATGTCCACGTGTCTGAAATAACACCTATATGGACCTATAAAACGCCGAGCCCCTGTGACAGAAGGCCGTGGTTATCCCTAGCCGCATAACCCGGAAGCCCGGCACTTTCGACCCAACCCTCACCATTAATCCTCAGGGTTGAGTTATGTGTGTGTATATATGTATATGCACATGCATATCTATGTTACATGATATATATATATATGCATATATATATATATATATATTTACATATATAGTTATTACTATTATCGATATTCGTATTCAAGTTTTGTATTATTATTATTAGTAGTAGTACTAGTATTAGTATTAGCATTAGTATTAGTAGTGTTGGTATTAGTATTAGTATTAGCATTAGTAGTAGTAGTAGTAGTAGTAGTAGTAGCAGTAGCACTCGTATTGTGATTGTGTGTATATAATATGTGGGCATGTAGACACTTTTCTCCTCTATTCGGCTGCTTTCACAAAAAAGGGGCTACTTGCGGGGAAGCCCTCGGGCTGGACTTCAGTGGATGCCTCAACCCTGAATAGCCTGATATAGGGGCCTTAAGAATTAGAACATGGTTTTGGGGTCCTTTGCATTTTAGTTAGAAAAAGGAACCCCCAAAAATAATATAAGTAATTCTTGAGTTCCTTCTTACAATAATACTATAAAGGATACCAGGCCCTGTTCTATTTGTTAAGGCCCCTACATTAAACTGGTCCTCAATACTTTAGACGTATACGAAAAGAACGGGGGAGATCGAGTGATCGAGGTCGATTTCGAGGTCTCCATCGCATCGGCCTGTAGCCAAGACTGTAGGGTTCAGGGGGTGTAACCCTAAACCCTAAACCAACCCTAAACCCTAAACCCTAAACCCTGAAGCCCGGGTGTGGGTTTAGGCTTTTAAGGTTTAGTACGGATTTTGTTGGGTATTGCTTGGATTTTGCAG